CTCAATGAGAATACAAAGATAAATACCTACGATTCAAGAGGTAGATGATCTCTCCCAATTCCTACAATTCGAGAGGTAGGCAATCTCTAAAACCTAAACCAAAGACTCACAACCCAATCTCATGCATATAACTAACCTTAGACATAACAAGTCTATTTATACCCCACAATAATAATAATAAAAGACTAAATTTTCCTTTGGCATACAAAAAATAAATTTCTTTTAGGCTAGACGCCCTCGCAACAATGATCCCCTCCCCCCCACAAAGACACCTTGTCCTCAATGTGGGAAAAAAAGAGTGTTCCTCCTCCCCCAAAACTGTCTCTATTTCTTCATTCTCTGCTTCCTAGTCATGCACTATGAGAATTTGTAATCTTCAAGTCTTGCAACGGTGTCCTGGGATAAACTTCTCATCACACCAAAAACAACCCCTCGGCTCGCTTCTCCTGAATCTCTCTCTATGTAAGGCACTTGAACGTTGCTCCCAACCGTGGTTCATCATTCGTGTCCCGTGCAGCCTTCCTCTGGACTTCCACTATCTAAACTTTCGACATTGTTGTCGTTATAGCAATTCCGTACAACACTACATCTACGTTGCTTCTATCAGCTTTCTTCATCCGGTTCTTGTCTTCCACTATCTTGGCTAGCTCCATCATCTCCCTCGATTCCCATGGTCTTAGCAATCGAAGTGCTGCCTGTAAGTCGGGCTTTAAGCTCTTCATAAAATTCCCCTCTAGTCCTATTCCAAAAATCCCTCACAGCCGTCCCGACAATAGTTCAAATCTCTCCCTATATTCCATGATTGTTCCCTCCTAAGTCAAAACATAGAATTGCTCGTGTAGGTCTCCTTCCAAAATGGCTCGTAAACGTTCCACTAAGAAATCCTTAAATTCATCCCACGAACGAATCGGCTATCTAGCCTAGCTCCACTGAAACCAAACTAAGAATTTTCCCTCCAAACACAATCCTACCGCTATGAGTTTCTCCTGCCCATCTGGCCCATTAACTGCAAAATATCACTCTGCCCGATTCACCCACCTGTGCGCGCCTTCCCCCATAATCGACATCTTCAACTTCCAAACTCTAACATCTACGCCCCAACTTGCTCTTCCTCCGTTGTTTCCCTCCATGTATCGAAAGTAAAACTATCCCTTCAATCGTAGCCATATCCCCTCCCTGCTTCTTTCACTTCTTCTTCGCGCTCCTGCATATCTCTAATATAATCCTTCTTCATATTTCGGCCCAACCGTTTCCATCAAAAATCTCTAATCTAATAGGAGCCCTGAGAGGAGGTTTGTGATAATGGGTTTGCTCCTCATGCTTCTCACCTTTGATCCATTTTTCTTTCGAACTTGCAACAAATTCTCCAATCAATACTTTTTTGTTAGAGTTTGCAAATTGAGTTGTCAGAGGATTCCTAAATTGCATCTCAATGAGCCTCTTTAGCATCTCTCGAATTTCCCCCATGCTCTCAAATTGATCCTCCAGTTGGTTCTCCATAGAAGAGAACCTCTCATCTATGGTGGCAAAATTTTCTTCCATCCCAAATTTTATTTTATTCATCTCTTCCTCCAATTTCTTTTCTAGGTCATCTACTTTCTTTGTTGTCATTACACCCATAAAACTTTTAGATCACAAAAGACAGAATCCTCAGTACGCTGAAATGTCATCAATGATTTCCACATAGCATAAATCACAATGTCCAATGCTGCAAAACTACGATCTAGCAACGGAATCTGAAGAAATAGTGTTCCGAGGCAATCCACTAAAAATTTCCAAATTTTCGAGTTCACACTGTAAAAAAGGATGGGTTTGATCACTCTGTACATCGCAATATCGTCGTTGATTACCACTGTCAGCACCCTGCAAACCCTGATTCGCGTACTTAGTCGCTTTCCTTTGCGTCAAAGTCGGGTGCTGCGATCACAAAGAGGCGACTTAAAGATGTGATCCTATCCCACGTGATGATTACTTTGCGTTGTCTCCTTCCCAACGAGCTCTGACCCTCTGTGATTCCGGTGCAGCCTTCCCAGGTAGTTCTAATTGTGACTCAATCGCATAGATGACGTTGGAGGAGAGAAAAATGGAATTTTTGGGTCTTTTTGCGCCGCTTGCCAGTCGTTGCCTTCCCAGCTAGTTCTGCTCACGATTGTAATGAAGGATTAGGCCAGGAAAGCGAGAACTGATCTCGTCATTGCTGCGTGTGATAGAGAAAGGCGAGAAAGATGCAAGTTTCGAGCCTCGGTTAGCCACGGTCCTTGGCATCGGAGCCTTCCCGGTTACAGTATCACCAACGACTTGATCCCGTCCAGCTTCCAAGTAGCGGTCGCTCTGTACGCAACGATCCTTTCTCGCGAACTCAACAAAAAAGGCGACAAGAAATCTTGGCTGCAACAATCGAGTGGTTAATTTTCCATAATTTGAAAGGTCTGATACAAATTTGATACGAAAAAATCGACACGATTCTCAATAGAAATTAGGGCAAAACAGATTTCTTATTTCAATAATTAAAATAACTCAATGAAAATACAATAATAACCACCTGCAATTTGAGACGTAGGCTACCTTTCCCAATTCCTACAAATTGAAATGTAGGAAATCAGACTCACAACTCAATCTCATGCATAAAACTAACCCTAGACATAACAAGTCTATTTATACTTAACAACAACAATAATAAAAAACTAAATTGCCCATAGGCATACAAAAGACAAATTTGCCCATAAGCTAGGAGCTCTTGTAACAATTTCCTACTGATTTCATAAAGATTTTCATACCCAATTTCATATTAATGCATACATTAGTGTCACGACCCGGCCTGTGACTTTGAATTTTCAATGCGGGACCAGACGATTGGAAAGTGAAATTCAAATTTAATTTTGTTTTTTTAACACTAACAATTAATCATTCAAATAATCAAAATATCAGCTAACAAATAGAATTTATATTAACTTAAAAAAACAATTACAAATGAATTTACCTTCATCAATGTTTATCATGTACTCTATGCACATCCTCTCTTTTTTCACTCCAATTAACAAGATATTTGATTTTCTATGAAAGACTAAATCATTGACATCAGCATAGGAATCAAGCTGGAAGATTTATCTAGATAGTACATCAATCTCGTTAATCTTGAGTGTCATGCATTAAAACATGATCAGAAGCTCCAAAAAAAGGCTAAAATGCTTCAGGGAGAATCTTAAAAATTGGTTCAATTAAGTTTAGCAGAAAATAAATCCAAAAGGAAATGTTATCACCGTAATAAAAAAGTATAAGTTCAAAATTAGAACTCTAAGGGCCCGTTTGGGGCAACTTATAAGTGCGGGGGCGTTTTTGAAATCGTCGCGGTACCGTTTGGATCGCACGTTTTGCCTACTTATCTGAAACCGCGGTTGGATTTTTATACTAAACGCAGGCCGCGGTCGAACCCTGCAGTCGAGCGCGGGCCGTGTTTCAGGATAAGCTGCTTATCATAAAACGCACAAGCTGCCCCAAACACACCCTAATTCTTCTAATTAGGGACGATAAAACCAATCAAGTTGTCATTTGCCAAAAAGACAATCAAATGATGCATCACATAGTGCATTATGCTACTTGATGCATGTTTAACAAAAAGCAAGATGGGCCATATGTTCTAACAATGCTCTTCCATGTCCGATTCATCACACCAATTAAACTATATCACTTTTGGTAAATCAACATTTTTTGGCTGAAATGACATAAAGCAAAATATATATATATATCCAATGGCGGCAACATGTATTTGAAAAATGGCACACCATTATAGCATCCATCATAAGGTTTTAACAAGATTTTAGTTGGCCAAAAAGAGAGGTTGAAGGAATTTGTTCAAATAGTAGGAGCCTTCATGGGCCGATTGGGTCCATTAAGTGTTGATTACATGTATCGAGAATGTAGGGTCCAACCAATGGATGTATCAAGAGCCTGCTCACCCATCCTTGTTAATCCATCATCATCATTGCTTTGTTTCACTTATGTTGGGTCGCTCACCCATCCTTGTTAGGAATTTGTTCAAATAGTAGGTGTCAATTCTATCTTTTTGTAAACCTTCTTGCAAAATTTTTTACCCGTTATACATCGGGGCTACCTTTAGTCCTTCTAGTCCTTCCACGTTATCATCCATATCCATCTATTATATTTAAATCAATGCATCTTTATCCTTTATTGTGGGTCCAAACCATGTAAGTCCCCGCATCCATCTTAACAATCTAGTTTTTGTCAAGTGCGACTTGATGACCACTAATTTATTTACAACCTAACACTTGAACCTACGTAAATAATTCATGTAAAGATAATTTCACCAAAAAAAAAAAAAAAAAAACTCTTACCACTGATTCTCGACAATGCTATCTTATATCAAAATATGCCTAGGACATTCTCCACCTTTTTCAATTCATCCACTCCCTCACACAAAACAAAGCCCATTCCAATATCAGCCCCAATCAAATCAAACAAATCTATTTTAAATATGCTTGCGATTCGACCAATAAGAATTTTACAAAATTAATATGATTGCGTGTGCCCAAACATTAACTAGCAAGAGCATCTTTTGCATAGCGGTTATCTTGAGTATTGCCACAAAAAGCATCCAGCAATTCATGTTGCTTATTTTAGGGTGTCAAAGTCATGTAGTATGGTTGACATATAGAGAGCAAGAATCAGATTGATGCATAAAGTAAAAAAGCCCATCAATAAGAGTTTCAAGCAGAAAAGAGTAATACCTTTTAAGGGCATTTACATACATATCATTCAATTCCTATATATTTACTTATCTGACACCTAAACTTTTCTTTTTTACATTTATGTCATCCAAATCTTTCATATAACAACAAAATTACCACCATTTTAACTTTTAAAGAGTGGAATACACCTTTTTATGCACGGTAAAGGTAACATGTACGTAAGAATTGAAGCTTAGTTGTTAGACATGTAAATACATAGGAGGAATCTAATGGTCTGCATGTAAATCTTCCTACCTTTTATTGGATCCTCAGAAGAATACCACTCTGCCCAAGGACAATCAGAATCCCACTGACTCTTAATATGATTATCCTCAACTGCATCTCCTTTTCTTTGTTTGTTAATGTTATCCTGACCCTCATCATTATCATCAGCATACGGAGGAGTTCTATAACTCAGTCTCATTGTAGAACGAACACTGAAACAATTCGTCGAGAAATCGACAGCAGTTAAGGCCTGAGGAAAAAAAAATACAGAACATTTAGAATTTGTAAGCTACTCTAGAAGCTATACTAATAGTCATGTAAAAGTAAGGCTTGAACCTTTTATATTTTGATTAAGATATTCTTATGTAAGGGGAGTAGGGTACCATAGAAGAGATTATTCTTAGTAATTTTAAAATACTTTTTTACATTTATCCTTATTAGCCAAAAATATTTCTACCTCAATCATCATGATGAAATTAAGTTACAGAATTTATCATATTATCTTATTTATAAATTAATAAAATAAGGAAAAAATAATTACTGGCAAATTTTCAAGTATTTTCCATATTTATTCTCACGACATTCTTTTGGCATTTTATAAACCTTATGAAAATTGATAAGTTTTAATTGTGACTTTTCTTTGTCGAAGTTCACTTCTATGATAAAATTGTAAACAATATGAAAGAAAGAAAAAGAAAAAAAAATGATTATATATTGTTTTATAATAAGAAACAAAACTTTTACATTTGCTAAACTTTTGTAGTGATATAATTAAGATCTATTTTCCATATGAATAACAAAGATCAAAATATATACAAGCTAATCAAAGCATGACACTCCAAGAGAAAAGCCAACATGCATGAAACCATCTCAGGAAAGTAGCACTAATACAAAAACTTCTAAATTGTTTCTACAAAAGAAAAAAGCCTGCATCCCCTCCTCACAAATGAGGGGATCTAAAATAACAAAAATACACAAAATAACTTTTCCAATAAGCCTTACAAATTTTGAGACAAATAGCTCGTACAGCCCCTCCAAGTGCAAAAGCCTAACGGGAACTTGGCTGCCAATTCTGTCAGAGTTGAATCTTCGAGTAAAGGTTGTACTCATGTTCTGAATTCCTATATATGCCTTTCGAGAAGGATCATGCACCGGAACAAATGCAGGCCAGTTACTGAAATATAAAAACAGGGAACTTCACATACGTAGCACACAAATCTTATGTATTTACACATCCCACATCTAAACTTTAGTACTTTGGCGCTTTAACCTGCATGAAAATGTGTATTTGGAAATAGTGTTATTTTTTATATGATATTAAATATTTGAGTGCTATATGTGTAAATATGAAGGTTTAAGAATGAGATACGTAAATACATAAGAATTGTGTGCTTTAAAAGTGCAACATATGTAAATGCCACAAAAAAAGACAATTAAAGAAACTGTTCCCTTATGACGCCAATCATTCTGGTCAAATGATCTAAAAAGAAAAAACTAAATGCCCATTGGTTTTAGAATCAATTGCTATAACTATATTTAAGAGCATTCGTAGAAAAGGGAACTGAACAAGATAGCTGAAGCGAAGATACCTAAACATTCTCATGAAACATGAGCGTATAAATTTCATATCGATCAAGGCCTCCAATGTATCAGAATCTGAACTTCAACAAGGCATCCAATAAATTTCAGGATACCAAAAGAGAAATTTGATTTCATAGGCCCCGAAATAATGAAAATTGAAGAAATATGTATGTTGTCTATTTTCTTAGAGAAATGTGCATGAAAATTCAAATTGAACCACAATACCCTCAAAAAGTAATGACCTTTTGTATTCATTAACTGCATTTTTATGTCAAAGTATATGATTCCATCCTTGTTCTATTATGATTCAAAGATTATTGGATCATGGTTCAGAGATGGTTTGATCTTTGATTGATGGACCATGGTTTAAAGATGATTTGCTGGTGAATCAAATATTTTGTGGTCATGGTTCAAAGTGGCTAGATCATTATTCAATCGTAATTCAAACATCGAGATCATAGTTCGAAAAAGATATGATCATTATTTGAATGTGATTCAGAGATAGCTAAATCGTAATTCAAATATTGTTCGATCATGACTCAAAGATGGTGTGGTAAATAATTTGAAAATCAATCAATCATTATTCAATTATGGTTCAAAGAAAATTGGATTGTGGTTTGAAGATTATTTGATCATTACTCGGTCGTAATATTGTTCGATTCATGATTCAAGTTGGATCGATTTTGGTTTAATTATTGTTCGTATATTGTTTCATTATCGTTTGAAGATCATTTTCTCGTGCTTCGTGAATTATAATGAAGGCTGCACAACAGGAGTTAGATCACAACTATGACTCAGTAAATTATAAGTGATTTAATTTGAAATATGGTGAGAAATCAAAAAGTTAGTGAATGCTCATACCTCTAAACTATATTACCAAAATTGAAATCACAAATTTAAATGCTCTAACAAATTATATTGTGGATAAACAATATTTTAGATGGATTTTTATTTATTGAATTACCTATGAATTCATCAACCAATCCTACTTGGATTATATCAATAATCTTCCAGGCCAGCAGGTGGGATGTGACAATAAGAGCATTAGAAATACCGGTTGCAATCAACCACCACTATGTGAATCAATAGAGCATATCATTTTTTTTTTCCTCTCTGTCCACACCAAACCTTTCAAATTTACAAATACCGTGGCTGAAGAGGTCATTCCACAAGCGTACCTTTGAATATCAACTATAGTGTGAACATTCTATGGCTAATTACTTTAGAAATACTACTAATTCACAAGATTACCACATCACGTAATGGTTTGATCCTTCTTATACGGCTAAATGATTAAATATATATAAATTTGTAGTGACTAAATTTTGCAAGATGACCATGCTGCAAACCTGCCACAATTTGATAAAGCAATTGCAACAGCACTTAAGAGTTTGCTTGATTCAGGAGCATCTAGAACCACTCCACTGGCACTCAGAGGAGCTATAACCTGTCCGAAAATGCAAAATAATCACCTTCAATATCTAATACCTCAGATATAAATTCTTCCAAAAATAGAATTATTTCATTAAAGAAAGAAGGAACTATATTAAATTCGTGAGAACATATACTTGAAAAATGAAACAAATATTGTCAGAGAGAGTGAGTGAAGAACTAAAATAATTAATCAACCCCATATAATGAAACTTTAAAACTTAAATTAGGATTGGAAACAGAACATCTACCAAGAACCCAGTTACTCCAAACGATAGCTGCAAACTATGTAAGTCATTGTCCCATTGTCCAGCTTTATCTGCCACTCATCAAAAGAAAGATGTCAGAAAAAAAGTAAACTTGCAGGCTTTTCTAGTAGCAGAAAATAAAAAGTCAAATTCACCACTGCTATGGATCTGAAAATAGTACTCCATGGTGTATAACTTTACACCATGTTTCAGCTCACGTTTCATCCTGTACAAGTTATTTCTTGAACCCAGGCATTCTGCACCTTTATCCTACATAAACAAAGTACAAAATTACGGAAAACTTGAGGATAAAAAGCAAAAATATTTTTTTTCTCTGATGCGGCAAATGAAATGCATTCCATTTTGATCATTTAGATCAACAATACAGCAACTAAAATTATGATCTAGTTCAGAAAAGTGTGCAAACACTACTGGAAGTCCGTTCTTATAAAACAAATTGTTGCAGACAATAAGCATACCAATAGATTTTTATGACCATCAACAAACCACTGCCGACAAACAGCCTCTATTTCTGATATAAATCTGACAAGTTCAAAGATCGTTAGTAAACAATAAAAATAATAATAGAGCAATTAAATTGAAAAAAAAGGAAATATTAGTAGCCCGTTAATCTAGCAATGTAATTATTAAAAGCGATATGGAACCGAGACAGATAAAAAAAATGAAATACCTTTCCCATGTAGATGCAATTGTGAAATCATCAAAGCCCTCAATCTGGTGAATTATGCAGGTTACAACCATCAAAATCCATCCTTTAAATGCAAATTCATACAACGTAAATGTGTATTTCCTAAGCTGGTTGAAAAGACTTTTAATTGAACAAATTATTTCGTTGTGTATACGCATAGCAATAGAAGAATTGTCACATTAAAGCAACTTTATGCATGAAAATACTGGTAGTACTTACATCAACAGGCTACAAAATGTTGGGAGCAATAATAAGTTTAATAAATAAACATTGAATGGAGGGACAAAAAGCTTTCTCAACCTTACTACAGCCTAGGAGAAGACTGAGAAGCGGCTAAATGGGGGTTTTCCGGATTTGAGATTTGATAATTTGATCTGAGAGTTGTTATTTTTGCTATTGTATTATGGTGGCAACTTATTTATTTCATATTTTAGGTCAGATTTACAAAACAATCGAATATTAGTCTTCTTTTAATTGTAAATAAAAGGTATTTAGCATGTAAAATTTATTTCATGGGCAAGCATAAGACTTGGATCTTTCATTTGGTGACTTTTATCCTTGTAATCTACATATGTTGTTGTTAAGGGTGCGTTTGGGACAACTGTGATTGTATAAAATCTCAGTTCTACAATTATTGTAGAAAATCTATTGTTTAAGAACTGGTGTTCTAGAAGTAATTTTTCTAATTGAAATTTTCAGTTTCGAAAGCATTATCTGTGGATAAATGTCTTAAATACCTCTCTGCTCTTGTTATTAAATTTGTTTAAGCACTTGATGTTTTTAAAAAGAGAATTCATTGATTTTTATATTTTTTTATCGACTTGTGCAAAAAGTTTGATCTAATTATTTGTTATATATATATATATAAGAATTCTTTGGTCTCCCTTAATATATGGAATATGTGGTATGCGTGTAAAAAATAAAGAATTATGTGGTATGTGTGTAAGGCCCGAATTAACAAATCTCTATGGTATGCATGCAAAAAATCAAAAGTTGTGGATTTTTTCTGAATGAAATTTTCCAAACAGCAGGATGCGGTCTCCATCCAGCTTCCGCAGATCCACAAATTTCTCCAGTGCGTTCGCCACACTGTTCGTGCTGAACTTGCAAAAAAATAGGTGAAAGTTGGTTTGAAAAGTCAAAATAAACGCACCCTAAGTTTGTTCAAATTTGAAACGATAACTCCCTATCAACCTTAAGTATGGTTATGAATCTTATTTCACAATTATGTTGGATAAATGATGGTCAAGCCCACAAGAGCTTCAAATCTGCAAGCCGCATGTTCAATGCTAAATTGGTGGAGCCCAGCCAGTCCCACTAGCTCAATTAGCACTCACAACACCTGTGTACTGAAATTGACATAAGCAAGCACAAGTAACGCCAACATATGCAAGCGTAGGAAAAGCTTGCAAAGGCCTGGCCAAAATCATTTCTAACCTCCTAATAAATGCACCATGCTGTTATTAGATAGTTATAGATGTTGACATAAGGTAGAAGTAAAGCATGCATGCCTACCAAGCACTCTCCTTGTGACAAGAAGAATTAAAGAATTTTGCTTCCAAATATTTTGGACCAAACCATCACGAAAGGAGAACCATAAAAAAATAAAAAAAATAACACATGGGTTATTTGGTTGGCTGTTTCTAAAATGCAAGTACTTTAGAAATGCATGGTAGATGGAATGTATGCATTTTTAAATGCATGAGTTTTTTATACAAATTGACGAAATACAACTTATTGCATACATATTGGCGAAGGAAAAACCTATATTAGTATTTTAAATAATAAAAATTGAAAGAAAAGAAAATTAAAATAAAAACATCATCTTTCAGTCCAAGCATATACCGTGTTATCATGGCGGATTTGTAGTTTTGTACTCGCGTTCAATAATATGTGTCACTAAACAATGTTTTACTTTACTACATGGTCATAATTTCATTAAAAAAAAAAGGAACTAGAATTGAACTTGTCAATATCATGGCCACCGTGAAAGATCCGATAATCTCTAACCATTTTGAAATTCTCGGACGGCGTGTTAGCTGGTTAGTTAAAGAGAAACAAAAAATGGAACGAATGTACGAGAGCGGAAGGTCATTATTGAACCTTAAGCTCCCAACATTTTATACTATAACATCCAAATCACAGACCCGTGGCTGAAACCCTGAGAAACAAAACTCAGGGGAAAGTGCTTGAAAACACAGATGAGTTATTTCCATTCTACCAGAACTAAGAGCTCCAACAAAAGTAAAAAAGGTGAACGTGAGCAGGAGAGGAAATTACATCTTCTTGGGTTTCTTCTACGTCTTCGCCAACTTCCTGCACAGCTTTTCCCCTATCCATCGCAGTCGCGAAGGAACTCACGATCGATTGCTCCAAAGGCCGTACAACAGAGTACCTTCTCTGATGAAGGATCGGGCACTCAGTCGAACGCCATTTTTGGGAATCAAAATACCTAAGAAAACCGAAAGTTTATATTAAAAAATATTGAATAGAGTCCTAATACAATTTTGTAATTTGACTTTAATGAGCACCTATCAGATTGCGTACATAAGACGTGCGCAGAGTTGCGTGCATCTGTAACCTGCAAATAGGTTACAGGGAATATTTCATGAGGTTATAACCGCGTTATACCCCATGTAACCTCCCTGTAACCTACCTGTATATCAAAACAGAAACGCGAAACTTACTAGAAGGTACAGGTAGGTTACAGGGATGTTACAAGGGGTATAACGAGGTTATAACCTCCTAAAATCATTCCTATAACTTGTTTGCAGGTTACAGACGTACGCAGCTCAGCGTACGCCTTACGTACGCAATTTTTTCCATCAGATAGGCAGATCCACTTATATATTAAATTAATTTTTTTTAATAAATTGGATTTGTTTGTACACGTGACATGTTCTGATTGAAGTTCTGATACAAAACTGCATTAGAGCTCTTGATGAGCAGCATTGGGATAGTATTGATGTGAATATTAATAATATAGCAAGTAATATTCGCTCCATATAAAAAGTGTTTGATAGCTTCGGTTGCACAAAGGATTTTAGTAAATCACAATTTATTAAATTCATCTTTTTATTGGATTTATTAAATCTCGATTTAACATGATTAGAAAGTAAAATTTGAATCTTAAGTCCAAAATTTCATAAATTCATGGAACTCTTATTTTCTTAAGTTTAAGGCAAATCCTATTAACAGGGCCCTATGAATACTCCCATAGTGTCATAAATGTAAACATTATTTTTTAAATTTTAGGTAAATTTACATACATATTACATAATTCTTATTTATTTACATATTTCATGCATATTTACACGCACAACACTCAATATTTTAATATCGCCTCAAAATTACTACAACACCGTCTTAAAAGTTAAATACAACTTTTCATGCATAGGTTAAGAATACCAAAAAATTGTACATGTAAATATGTAAGTTTGGGTGTAGATATCTAAATCATGAGAATTATGTAGTATGTATGTAAATTTTTCATTACTGATTTAATAACATTTTACACATATTCATAAATATTTGACAAGTATTATAATCGTATGATCAAAATGATTCTTTAATTATATATTTGATTTATATGAAGTTTAATCAAAAAAAATTTGGGCCATTCTAACAGAGGCTAAACGTTGATCCACATAAAGTTTAAAGTATATACGTTCAAATCAAGTTTGATCGAACATTGAACCCTATTAGAAGTTGGTCTGGAGGTTGTTAATTAGGTTGGAATATGATTCAATCCTTGTCTCTCTTACAATCATTGACTATTGCTCAAACTATGTTCAATTTACATTTGAATGAGCATATAAATGGGTTTAAACCCGTTTAGTCATTGTTCAAAACTCGCTCAGCCTTTATTCGAATCAAATAATAGTTTTGATTGTGTATTTACATAACAATATCTTTATGCTTGAGGTGATAGAAGAGTTAATTTTATTTGTTGTATAGAGAGTTGAATATAAACAACTAAAGGCGTTGGTCTTTTATAAGAGAATGTTATTAATATTATATACAAGGTCGAAGAGATGGAAAATAATAAATTTTGTTTAAAGATCATGTATCATTTTGATGAACCATAATCCATGATATATATAAGACCCCTCAGGTCGGTGATTTGAATCCCCTCCGGGGCAGTTGGCCTTAAGAAGATGATACTCAAATTATTAGACACATTAGGTGTTGTCGGAAGCTCGCATAATAGTCCTAGCCATTCATTTTTAAAAAATTAAAGATAATATATATATATATATATATATATATATGATGCATATATGCTTAGTTATCAAAAGTTTCATTAGAGATTGCAACCTCACCATATATGTAGTTGTAGCTAACAAATGAGTAAAGTCTTTTGGTTCTTCATACACTCTGAGCTTAAAGCAAATAAATTAATGTATGAAGAAGATATGAATTACTAAAAGGGTAAATGCATTATACTACCTCCAATTCAATTGTTGATGATATAGCACCTTTGAGATCAAGCGTGCTCTCAACATAAAAACCAGAAAACTTTTTGAGAGCATGGATGATTTGAATAACCTATTTTATTTATATAAAAGAAAATATAAGTTTTATCTGAGATGGAATAAATAAGAAAATATCATCGGTACATTCATTGTTTGTAATTTTAGAAAATATTGATGTTGTTTATAAGTTACAATGTTGTGACAATCAAATATATTTGAAATTGATAGCCATATATGGGAACACACTTTCTCTTTAGTTGTTAAAGTAAATGACCATCGATGGATAAGCCAAACAATGACGGGTTAAAAATAAAACAACTTAGAATCTTATTATATTTAAACCAATTGTAAAGCTAAAAATGATAATATTAAATGTTAAGAGACATTATGATGTTGATTTATGTTATGAGGAATATTTTAAGCTATTGTTAGCATTGGTACATGCTTTTGACTAAGGCCCAAACACTTATTGTTTAAAATATTAACCAATTTAAATTGCAAGTCCTTGATGGTGATTTTGGTGGTGACATTGATTCTATAGAATGGTTATGTGTCTGATTAAAGTTTGGTGTTGTGGGTTTTTTGTACAAATATGCATTAGTAGCATCTATTTATTATGGTGTCATTCAATACTTGATATTTTATATATAAGAAGAATGATTGAGTTGATCTTTTGAAAAATATATATCTAACATTGTTGAAATCAAAGTGTTGCTATCTAAGGAAGAAAATAATAAATCCTTCAAAGGTAAAAAAAAAAAAAAAAAAAAAAAAAAAAAGTGTGGAAAAATAGGTGAAGTTGATGCCGGGTGAAAAACCAAAATCAAGTTATTTATAAAACCAAGTGTTTGTTATTTGTGTAACTTTGGCAAGTTGTTATATCACTTGATAGTACTTTGTTAATATTTTACTATATATGAATTTAGTTTTATTGGCTTTTGTTATTTACAATTATTCATGTGTCAAGTGATGTTATTTGTGATAATGTTAGCCCTATACTTGTCAAATTTCAACAAAGCAAAACAAAATACAGAAGCTGCAACCCACCATATAGATATGGTTATAAAACAACTGAAATCCATGGTTAAAATAAATAACACAGCTTAAGAAAAAATTTTACAAGGTTAACTCTTCAAGTCCTAAATTGGTCTAATATTTCATATTTGTTGAATTCACCCGTACAAGATTATGGTTAATTTTGAACTACCATACATCCACATTATAGCTAAAAAAACATTGATATCTTCTGTAAGCCATCACATTTTAATTTTTTTCTCTTACCATCTGATAGTTATTATATTATCAATCAATAAAACCATCAGTTTAAATACTACACAAATATCCAACTTTGGTAATTTTTTGTTATTCTAATCACTCGCAAATGTGGAATCTCAACTAAGTCTTTTAGGGGCAATCAAAAGGCATGTCACTATAATTACCTTAGTGTCTTAGTGGTATATGAAGTTTCTATACATAACAATAGTAGAAGCTCATCATGTTATTTGTCTAATGATATATATAATAATACATCCTATCGGTCAACACATTCGAATATTAAGCTAATTTTGATGGTTACAAATGTAATTAAAACCTCTACACTAAATAATATACTTCCTTATAATATTGTAGCTTCAACTATGTATTATAAGTTCATTAACCTGATTTATGTGCACACTCGAACTTGTTTGATTTAAGAAGTCATCCCTAATTACTCACATCAACTGATTTTGATCTTTTATTAACATTCACCTAATTGATAGAAAAATCGGTCATACCATTAGTCAAATATTTGCATTCCTAACCATGCAATAGATGGTGTTTTTTTGCCAAAAAAAGTTTTCCAAGTGTCTAAAACCACCATTTTAAGGGACTTGAATGATTCATTGAGACATTTAGTTATCTCGATTGGTCATTTAAATGGTACGATCAAACTTACGTGAATAAAGGCAAAGAATAATTAAGCTATGTATGATGGAACTGGGGGTGGAAGTGAGTTATGCTGACCCATGAGCCGGCTCGAGTTCGACTCAATAATTGACTCGTGAACTGAACTCGACAAGCTAACAAGCCAAGTTCAAGCCAGCCCTGGCTCGACTCGTTAGCATAGGAGCTGGTTCTTTTAAAAAAATATTGATGTAAAATATAGTTAAAATATATAAAATTTCAATATTTTATCTTTAAGGTATTAAAAAAAATAAAAAATAATATTGAGTATTATATATTATGTAATTTCTTATTATTTGTCATCTAATTGTTCATTTTAATTGACTTCTTATTATAAATCTAGCATAAATTAATATCAATTTCTCTCCTTTATAATAAACAAGTCGGCTCGAGAGCCGGCTCGAACTTATAGGCTTAAGCTCGAGCTCGAGCTCGAGCTTGATAAAACTAATCAAGCTCCATCTCAAGTCGAGCGTGACTCGAGCTTGACTCAACTCATTTACACCCCTAGATGAAACTTCCCTATAAGCGAAGATAACTAAGTTGAATGATTTGAACAAAATTAGTTATAAATTGGCTCCCTACAAGCGTAGAGCTACTATGGAAAAGCAGGGCATACAACAAAGGCGAACAAATAAGAGAAATGACGTGGAGAACTTCAGTGTGACAACTCTCACTAGGATAAGTTAAGCATATGTGTTAGAAAAAGATTGGACCAAAATAGCTTGTGCCAAATAACTGCGAATGAATGCCTACGAAAGTTATCCACAACCAGAGATTCAGGTGTGTTGGCCTGTTATGGGGTCCAGATTGCTCCAAATGGGATGTATCACACTATGTTAATTACATATTGGAGTTTGCCCAAAAATACTCTTGGTCCAATGATTTTTGCTTATATTTAAAATGACAACTAGCACAGAGCTATCAAATGACAATTATTTTGCAGGTGACTGCTTTGATGCTTTCAAATCTCCTGCCAAGTCACGGGGTAGAGAGCGAGGCTCCCACAGTCCTACATGAGCAAGGAACTCATTGGCATACAGAGCATATGAAATAACCATATCATCTTGACGAGTTGTCGTGATACATCAAAGCACATTCAGTTCATAAAGGAAAATGACAAATCAACATATCTCAAACGGACCTCAACTCATCGGCAATCGAACCGTCAAGATGATATCAATGACAGCAAGAGGAGTGATAGAGCTCACAGTGTTTAGTCAAAGAAATGAAGGACTAACCCCTAAATGGTACAAATAGTTAGGTCGGGGTACCATAGACCCGTCATCCAAAGTTACTATGACCTTTAGTCTGCTTAGTCGTGAATGTAGTTAACCTAACACGTCCAGAGATCTCTGATCAGCAATCCATGAATTACATTGTCCACAAGAGCCTCGGTAGCCATAAGATCAAATGAACAAAACTCTATCCCATGACTATCAAGTGGAGCTCTAAGAGGCTGGACTTGTACCCGTCGAAGTAGCGAGGATGTCGCTTTAAAGATGAGAAAGGCAAGGTTCAACTATAAAACTAGAAATGCTTCTGATAAAAAAATTACACCCCTTTTTGGTCGGTGAGACTCTTAATGACCTAAGCGCACTAGGTAACCACCTAAGTAGAAATCTATGCTGGGGCAGTCGGGTTGAAGAAGCATGGGGGCTTCTTTTTGGGACATGCATATGATGCAGTTAACTAATATGTCATAGTGTGGAGGCCTATTAATTATGACTTGTGTGAGAGCTATGCCATGCAACATATTTAAATTTTAGCATGAAGACTGTGTAGGAAAGTAAATGCAGATTTTTGAAAATCCTAGCAATTTTAATTCTAAAATTTTGATTATCTCAATATCTCATTATTAAGATTTTGAGTCAAAATTTATAATTTTAAGTCCCATAATGAGTATAGATTATAATTTTCATAGTATCTCAGATAAACCTGAAATAAATAGGCAAAACAATCCAAGCATATAAATATGTAATAGAAAGTAAAACACCAAAAAATATATAAGAAAGGCCAATATCACTGAGACGACGACATTGTTGGGATCATATTTTGATGTCACAAGTGTAGGGTGTCCATTTGCGTGATTTGAGATGGTCCATGGTTCGTCCGTAACATCCTATAGCTCAAGACACCCACCCGGGACTCTCTAGCACTTGTTTGGGGCAAGGAGCTAGGACTGGCAACGATTTAGCCTTACCTGAGAGAACCTGCTATTGAGAAGGCTCATTCTGGTGTTTATAAGTCACCACACATTTGTTCGAAGCCTTTCATGGTGAGGGAAGGCAAGTAATCCTCCTACACGTGCTACAGGAAAGTTAGAGTTCGGGACACCCTACCCCCGTTGTGGCTTAAGATGATCATTGTCAATGATTTCCCCAGGCAACTAACCGACTCAAATACTCAATTTCAAAGTTATGGGACTAAATTTCACTCATACATAGTCTCCCTTGCTTATGGATTAAGAAAATCCTTCATCGGGCGTTTTAGTTGAAAATCAAGGTTTCGGGCTAGACCGTCGCCTGGGTGCCAACGATTTCCCATTCTTCACTTCTACCTCGACCGACCCCCCAGCTGGGCTGGCCTCATTTTCACCTCGACCGGCAACCTTGTCCCTCTCGACATCACTTCTGCCTCGACCGGTCGGCTAGGCTCGGTCGGAAACACTTGTGCCCCGATAGCCCGCCCTAGCCCGATCAGTAACACTACCGCCTCGACTGACCCCCACACCCGACCCTGTCGACATTCCACTTTTCCTCGTCCTAGTCGACATTTAATTCTTTGAAGCACAACAACTCCTTTTCATTGATTGAGTGGAATATAACAAGACACACATACCCATCGACTGGTATCTATTGTTAGATGGATCTATGAAGTCGCCAAGAAAAATTTCCAATTTATCTCTTTTCCTCTTCTTAAAGTTCACATATTTTTATAACCTCTTATTCTTCAATCACAATAAATAGGAAAACACTTTAGTATGCTTGATGGATTTAACAACAAGACCCTCTCCACATATTTTAACTCGCAATTTCAACAACTAACTCTTTATCCCTCATTCTTGTGTCATAATCTACATCTTTAATCCATTTATACTAAAAATTGATCAGATCATCCAACTAATGCTCCAAACCTAGTTAATTATTCTTCGTATTTAGACCAATGAATGTTCTAATTTGTATAAAAATAAAAAGATCCAAAATACTTTATTATTTATCCTAATACAGAGACACAATTAATCAAAAAAGGCATTTACATGAATATAAGGGATACCAATACATTGGAACTTCTCATTGAGGCTTTTCACCACCAAATCTTTTCCATCTTAAATGGAAGTGAACATATACCTTATCAAACAACAAATATTGTAATCAAGTGTTTCTATAATAGAAGATGTATCCGAAGCTATAAATACTACACTAAATATATAAATATATAGAGCATTGTGTCATCATCACACTTGTTAAACACTTTGTCTAGTAGAAGAGAGCCATTGTATGTTAATTACAATGGCTCTTTATCAAAATATAATAAATTATATTTTGTATTTATACACTAATTTAGATAATGTTTATATTTTTTTATACAGAAGGGGTCAATCAAACATATCTTTTGAGTGACTCTGTTAAATCTAAATTGTCATCTGTAATATACTTATTCACCCCAGTTTTTAAGAATGATGATAGTTGCACTTATATCATCTAGGAAGTAGAATACACGCACACCACTGAGGTGTTTACATCACTTAAAATATATCATCTCATCATCTTTGAAAAGTGGAATACAATTTTTCATGCATTGGTATATGATACCAAGCTGTTCTAAGTGTAAATATTAAACTTTAGGTATTATATCTGTAAATACATACAATTATACATACAGATCGCCCAAAACTTTCTATTTACAAATCGACCGCTCTTTTCTCTTCTATTTTTCAAATCATCAGTCAAATATTAAAATTCATTGTAAAACCCCAACCCTTACTTTTCATTTTTATCAAATTTTCAATAGTTTTTATCCTGACAAGCATAAATACATCAGTTCTGTAGTTCAAGAAAATCACGTAGGAAATCAATTTGTAAATATCAATGTTTAAGATGATTTGTATGTACTTATCCCTATCAAAAACTATAATTTTAATCCATTATTAATAAATTATAAATGCAACCTTTAGGAATATAATATTGCATCATGAAATAACATGACAACCTCTAGTAGGCCCATATTAAGAACTTTTTGGTGCACAGAGATGAGAACAAGCAACCATTTTTGCACTTTTAAGGGAATATTTGGTTAGCGCTTTAACACGTTTAAGCATGGTTTAAGCCCTAATTAACATATATATATACATATTTGATTTTATTTAATCTAATTTCAAAGATTTAGCAAAACTTTGACAATTATGAAATAGTTAATAAACATATAACAAATAAAAAATCATTAATCAAATATTTATTTCAATTAATTTTTTTAATTAAAAAATAATTAAGACGGTTGAGATTATATTACTATTAATTTAATAATTGAATTAATCTTAATAAAAAATAAATATGAATATGTTTTTAAACAATAAAATGAATATATGTGATAATTTAAAAAACATTAATTAAAATATGAATATTTTTTTTAAACAGTAAAATAAAAATATGTGATAATTAAAAAAAAATTAATTAAAAAGAATTCATTAAATAAATGAGGTTAAATCAAGATATAATAATCCATTTTCTTAACCAAGCAAATTAATTAATCCGCTTAACAACTTCAGTTAACTCTTACTTAACTTAGAGCTTAGCTTCAAAAAACCGGATAAGAAAAAAGAAAGATTTACATACATACCACTTTATTCCTATGTATTAACATATCTAACCCTTAAACTTCAATTTTTACATATAGGTCCCCTTTTTTTACTTACAAAAGAAAAACTTCCATTTGATATGAAAAACAGGGTTTCACGTCATGATTTTTTAGATAAGTTTTGCGTTGGCTGTCAACTAGCTAAAGTAACTCTCAACTTTTTGCATCCGGGCTTGAGACCGACAACGACAGTATTTTTTTAAATGGAGAAGTGCAATACAAGGACTTCCCAGGAGGTCACCCATCCTAGTACTACTCTCGCCAAACACTCTTAATTGCAGAATTCTGATGAGATCCGGTGTACTAGTGATGGTATGGAATGAGTGACAAAAACGTAAAAAGTAAAATTTAGGATATTAATATGCAAATACGTAAGAATTAAGGGGTATGGATGAAAATGTCCCGAGAAAAGAATGAAAAGTTAAGCGGTCAAAATTTCCCACCAAATTAAGAACAACCGCTCACCGCCCCCGAAAACTCACCTCCCACCTCTCTACGCCGCCATCCCTACCGGCAAGGAAGAAAGGATTAGGTCGGCGAGGCAATATATAGCAGAGACGGGTCAAGAGAGCTCGAAAATGGCGTCGATTGCCGATTGGTGTATATATATTGATTGCTCGCTTGGATTTTAACGTGGGAACTAATCTCTTTTTCTGCTTCCGGTTTGCTTCTTTCGCGTGCCCGACACTCCACGGAAGTTGCGCTTTTGGCCTCCAGTATGGCGGATCGCGAATCATATTCCAAGCTCCGCGTTGAGGATATTCAGATTTAGAGGGGATGGAGAGGTTGGGATTTGCTATCTTGATTTTGTTATGTTGGGAGCTGGAGATCGCTGCTGCTGTCAACAATGAAGGTATGGGGTTTTCTTAACTCTCTCTCTCTCTCTCTCTCTCTGTGTGTGTGTGTGTGTCCGTCTGTCTGCTTCTGTTAGTGTCGGTGCTCAGTTTGGAGAATGGTGCAGGTAGGGCTCTGTTGAGGTTCAAGGGGAAGTTGGTGGATGCATTTGGGGCGGCTGTCGCGGATTGGAATGGGGAGGGTTCTTCCGATTCCGATCGGTGCTCGTGGCTTGGTGCGGAGTGCGCTGATGGAAGAGTTCTGTCACTGTGAGTGACGGGTTGAGCTATTTACTTGCTTATTTTCATATTTTCCATATGATTGCCTTATAAACATATCTGGAAATTGTTCATTGACTGGTTAGTTTCTTATGGATGAAAATTGTTAATGCTGCACTAATACTAGTAAATTGATATCATGGTACGCTTGAAAAATTGAATTTTGCGCACTAGGCTAGTTGTTGATTTGTTGGATTCGAATTTGTATCGGAGTGATATTTGATCTCACTAACAAATGCATAACAAACCTAAGGCTGTGTTTGGCTGCAACTTTGATTTAGGTTAAAAAGGATTTCTCAATTCCAATAAATCTGGATTCATTAAATTCACCCTGTGGCGGCTCTGCTCCCGAACAACGGCGGAATAAATAAGTCTCCCAATAGTTTACTAATTCTTGATTTATGATGTATAAGCGATTGAAAGCACGAAGAAAAAAGACGAAAAGCATGAAAATTGGATTTAATTTTTATTTTTTTGGTGTTTAGCTAAATTTTAAGTTAAATCCTTGGCTAAATCCAATTAATAGGATGCCGCCAAATACCGCCTTAAGGGGAAATAATAGAGAGAGAGAGAGAGAGAGAGAGAATTACAAAAAGAAACTCCAACAATTGCACTAGATCACAACAAGAGAATGATCTTTGATGTCCTTTAAGTCATTGTGATATGACCTAATTAAATTGACTCTGGTGATAGTAGGTATATAGGATGAATATCCTTAAGTTTTTTGAAGCCAAAGAATATTATCAAAAAAATAAGAATTTGATGATTGCCTTGCCTGGGATATAATTAGGCCTATGCTCACATCCCTGACAAGAAATTTGATTTGATTTTACATGTATTTCATACTATATTTCACTATAATGCATGTTGGTTGAGTTTTATACAACTTAAACTTGAAATCAATTGCTTGAGCTTCAAGTCACTTGTGATTTTGTAAAATAATCTTGTTGCAACATACATATCATCTTCCACGAATATTTTTTTTTAAATTCAATCCTCAAGATCGTCATATATCTATATTACAAACGTCCATTCTATAGATGTCACGCATTTATGGAAGATTTTCACATTAATATCCTTGGAACTGAGGATATATCGTATCAATTTGCTCGATGAAACTCTCATATAGTTCACAAGTATATAAACTTATGTGTAATCTTAATACTTGAAGTTCTGTTTTGTATTTTTTTTCTGTCTGCTTGAAATTATCGCTTTTTCCACCGGTTGAATTGGCTTCGTGGCTTTGTTCTTCTCTTTTGATTGAAACATTCGAGCTTTACACTTATTTCGTAAGGGCATAAAGTGTTGCCAAGGATTTGCTAGAGTTCTTATATAGTTTTTTTTTTTTTTTTCACACACGCTAACACATGCACATTGCATATGCAAGACCTTCAACCCAGGACCCTTTGATTGAAATACAAAATTCTCAATCACCAGACCAAAGTGATTTGCATTGTTCTTAACCAGTTGTATCATTCAAAAAATAAATAAAAAAATATTATTCATATAAGTCAAATATAATATTGTAATGGAGATTAGATATGGCTCTACCAAATATAGCAACATAGAAAAGTTATAAAACATGTGCCTTATAATAAGTAGAATAAGGTTGACATACTTGGCGAGCATTAAAAGGATGTTTGCAAATCTTCTAAGATAGGAGCCTAGGAGATCATATGGAAAATTAACATAATAGGTATATGTAACATAGATATTTATATGTATTAAAGGGTACATGAAATGTGTGTCGAGTTCCTTTAAGTTTTTTTTTTTGGAGGGATTCGAGCGTCTATAAACAAGGTATAGACAAGTAGAATTTGTCTTGTAGAAGATTATAATATTAGATATATGTATGGAAGAAATAACAAATTGCCAATAGTGAATACTAGAGAAAATGTATTGGTAATGATATTGGAGATAAGTTAACATCATAGAAATATGATTAGAAATTTTAACCTCATACAATGAAGATGAACAGGAGAACTCATAAACGAGTAGTTTTAATATTTGTTAAAAGGATGGGGAAGAGTAAGAGTGCAGAAGCAAATCATAGCTAGAAAATATTCAATAAGATAACAAAGCTGGAATTAATGCAAAAGATTGGTCTTATCCGTTAGGATGGGTGAAGTAAATGTAGAACGCCTTCTCCAAATCTATGCATTAACAATGAAAGAAAACTTGAACAAATCAAAGAACCAAATATATCATAATATTTTTACGTGGAAACCCAAATTGAAAATAATCATGGGGCCTCCACTATAGAGTATAATGTCTTTTAAAATTTTGATTTGTTTAAATTACTAGAGGATTACAAGTAAATTTATCTTTCACCAATTGGTGGATAAGAAGAATAAACTTACAAACAGTTTATCTTTGACCACCTCATAAATAGATAGAGACTTCTCTACTTGCGGATAGAAGGAGCTATACTGTCTACCCTTACACTACTTTGACCTTTTTACTTACAGTCACATAATTGCCTATTGGATCAAAGTAGCTTTTAACATGCTGCTTGGTCATTCCTCCTCGTATGCACCAAAGGGTTCATATATTTTGTAGAAAGTTCTCATTGGTTTTCCACCATGGCATCAAGGAAATGGCATTTTCTCTTCTCTAGATTGCTTCATAAGTGTTCAAGAAATTTAATTCCTACTTCTTTCTATGATTTTGAACAAATTATAATCTACCTTGCAATAACTTCTTCACTTGGCAAATTCAAAATATGTTTAGAAGAAATTCATGTCATGCAACGAAGATATGCATGAATTTTCATCTTAGGGAGGGATATTCCCAGCAACCCTCCAATAATATGAAAAGGTCATTCAGTCCTACGAAAGTCACAATCAGTTATAAGCACAAAAATAATTTATTAAGAAAAAGTGAGCTGACTAACAAGCACAAGATCTCCTTTTTATTGAAAATTAGCCAGGCTTTCCATAAAATGTAGATTATTGTTTGTGTTTTGTTAAGGAAAAAAAAATAAAGGGAAGTTGGTAGATGGAGAAAGATGCACTCATAAATCATGCAACCCATTAACAAAATTTGCAAATGAGTAGGAAGTGCGATCAACAGAAGGCTCATTATCTAAATATATGAAAGTAGGGGTCATTGGAATAAGCGGCAACATTGGGTATTGAATTGTGGGTTTAGTCAAAACCTTATGTATAGGCAATATAGGAGCACATGAGTTTAAGTAGGGATCAACGAGAGGGAATGCAGAGATATGCTGGTTGACAGAGACGAGGACACAATAGGCATATTTTATGAGTGATGAAATATGAAAATTGTTTGAAGGAAATAGAAATAGTTCACAATTGATAAAGTTGGTAGGGCAGCAGCCCTAGATGACCCCCTAATTGACGTTAGGAGCAGGTGCATCAAACTATGGTGTGGCTGAAGATCATACTTGTCTCGTGCACAGGCATAAGATGGGAAGTGTAGCACGTTAAACATCCGCGCTGAGAGCGGAGACCGGAAGTTAAAGCGGGCCTTGCGTACGTGTACGAGGATAGATTTCATTAGTCTCCCCGTGCATGTGTAGTTAGCGAAGGGATATAGTGTGTAAGTATAAGGTGAGGGCCAAGAGTGAACGTCCAGATTGAGAGACTAGGGTTGGCTCTGCAGATGTGAATTATTAAGTTTGAATGGATCTTGAATTAGATAGCCACCATTTCAAAAAATCAAATAGAAATTAAGCTTGAATTAGGTTTATCATCATCTTATAAGAAATTAAGTGTGAACGAATCTTGAGTTTATAGCTAAAAGTCTTGAAAAATTAAAACCTGCTATTTTGATAATAGAAAATTGAATTGATTACCAATGCTTTTTACAATATAAACCATGCTATTTGCTTTAAGCAATTTTTCTCTTACCAGAAACTGTTCTTATATTGAACAGGAATGCAGGTAATGGACTTACACGGAAACTCTTGCAGGTGGGCGGGAAAGGAAAAAGTCATCAACAAAATAACCACATAACTCAGAAAAGTTCGTTATTCGCCACCTCTTTTCCATTTTTCAAGACATTAATACATCAATCACCACCATCTTTATCACCATTACCATCACGTGCTGCTATTCCTTTACCAATTTTTCTCCCACCATTTCCCAGCAATAATGCTCCAGCAAGTCAGCCCTCACCATCTCCCAGTGATTTTATGAACTTTTCACCTTCACTTTCACCAAATAGTGATGCTCCTTCCCTTGCTCCAATTTTCAGCTTTAATCCTACAATTTTGGCTCCTCAACCTTCTTTGTCATCTCCTTCTCCAACCATAAGCCCTTCAGCAGTAAGAGAAGCTTATCAAAGAAAACATTCAATTTCTAGAACTGTATACATTTCAATAATTGGAGGGGTTTCCTTTCTCCTTGCCTTGATTATATTTTTTCTTTGCTGCTGCCGAGCCAATAAGGCTGTTGTCGTCAGGCCTTGGTCAACCGGTCTAAGTGGGCAATTACAGAAGGCATTTGTGACAGGTTTGCCCAGCTACTTAGGGCTCATTTAACATCACATTTATTTTATTTTATTTTTGCTTTTATTTTTGAAAGCATGTATGATTAGTATAATTTTTATATATGTTTATTTTGGGGCATTTACATACATACTATATATATATAATATACCAATCAAACTTGTTTTCAAAAACGAAAGTAAAACAAAAAATAAAAACATGTAACAAGTGTGATTCCAAACGGGCCCTTAAAATTGTGAAACTGACGATGTTGGTAACTATTTATAAGGGAATTCCTCGCAGGTGTGCCAACACTGAAAAGATCAGAAATTGAGATAGCTTGTGAGGATTTCAGCAACATTATCGGTTCTTTACCAAATTGCAAGTTTTACAAAGGAACCCTTTCCAGTGGAGTAGAAATAGCAGTGGTGTCTACTGTGATCACATCTTCAAAAGATTGGTCAAAACAATGTGAATCCCAATTTAGAAAGAAGGTAACCTATAATTTGCCTTTTTTCCTTGCAAAAAATGTGAACCTTTTTTGTGTTTTAAACCTTATTTTTTCAATGATTTAGATATCAACACTTTCTAAGGTGAACCACAAGAATTTTGTCAATCTTCTTGGCTTTTGTGAGGAAGAGGAGCCTTTCACCAGGATGATGGTGTTTGAATATGCTCCTAATGGGACGCTATTTGAGCATCTGCATGGTGAGCAGTTCTATAAAAAATCAGCTTTTTCAAATGAATTATATTATTTGTCTAACTTATGTGTCCTTTTTACTCATTTTATTAATCTGTTTGAATTTCTAGATTTATGAAATCAAACATGATTTCAGTTAAGCAAGATTTTGAAGCTTTTGACGATTTTCTAGCATTGAAATATTAGTTAAATAATTAATAAAATGTTTAAGGCTACTACCTTAAAGTGCTCAGTCTAATTGAGTCTACATGACCGAAAACCAGCCATCAGTAGCACTATGATCATTAAGGCCTGCACTTTTTAAAGCAATTAATAAGGATTATTTTTTAGCAATATTCAGAAGCATTTATTGATTTTTTTATTACTGTAGTTTGTTTAAGGAAATTAATATTATATTTAAAACTATTACTTTAAAGTGATCAGTGATTGATTGGTTTTACATTAATGAACACCTTGTGAGGCTAATTCTTTGATTGAGATTGGAATCTCAATGTGCACTTGATTAAAAACATCTACAGTAGACTATATGCCAACATGGACTTAGATTCCATTGAAATAAAATAGAATTTTATCCCAACATCAAGCCATCGCTCAATGCTACTTGAAATTATAGTCTTTCTTTGATAGTGTGCAAGTTTACTTTTTTTTTTTAAACCCTAATAATCTGATATTTATCTCTCCAAAGTAACTTTTGACATCTTTTTCAGTGAAAGAAGCAGAACACTTAAATTGGACTGCACGGCTCCGTATAGCCATGGGCGTAGCCTATTGTCTCGATCACATGCACCAGCTTCACCCTCCTGTGATCATTCAAAACCTAAACTCATCTTCCATATACCTAACTGAGGATTATGCTGCGAAAATTTCAGATATCAGGTTCTGGGTTGAATCTGAAGAAACCAAATCACCCTCTCAACTAGAGCCAAAGAACACTGTCTATGTTTTTGGATTATTATTAATAGAGATAGTTTCAGGTAGAATTCCAACGTCTGGAGATCTCCTGCTTGAGAATTGGGCTTCATGTTATCTCAATGGCGAGAGACCTGTAAAAGACATGATAGATCCAACACTCACCTTGTTCCGCGAAGAAGATGCCATCGCTTTGTGTAAGGTTATAAGATCCTGCATCAATCCTGTTCTTCAGGAGAGGCCGGCAATGTCAGAGATTGTTAGTCTATTGAAAGATATTACATTAATGACTCCGGATCGAGCGGTGCCGATGGCATCGCCACTTTGGTGGGCGGAGCTTGAAATTCTCACTTCGGTGGCGAACTAGAGAAGGTAATTTTAATTGAAATTGTGAGTTGTGATGATTCTTCTTCTTCTTCTTTTTTTGTTTGATGTTTGATTTTTTAACATCTCGAGTTTGCATGTAACTTTTGTTATGGAAGTTTGTATAGATTGGTGTGCATAGAGTGGTTTGGCTATTGATTGTTCTGTTTTATTTTGTATGTGTGCTTAAGTTTAATGTTTCTTAGGAGTGCTTTAAGAGAAGCATATCTAAGTCATGCTTAAAGCAATAACAAAAATATGATTATATCTCTAATGAGACCGATGCATCAAGGTGGGATCTACCCATCATCAAAACCCTAGGAGTTGGGATGTATACCACTTTGCCGCTTTAACTTTATGCATGAAAATGTGTTTTAATTTTAAAAAATGGTTATAATGCTATTTTTGATGTGATATTAAAGATTTGAGTGCTATGGTGTTAATATGAAGGTTTAAGCGTGAGATATGTAAATACATAAAAATGTGTGCAACATATTTACATATTTGAGTGCTATGTATGTTCCAAGTCCTTGGTTGAGATGCTCAAGATTGTATGATTTTAGTCTATTCTCCATTTGACTCTTAATACATTTTTTTTTTGTTGATTTATCTCTTTTAAGATTCTCAAAGCTTAATCCTTTTAACCATCTTGAGCTTCCTACTATGAGAAATTTAAATAAAATAATGAGAACAATGAAGTAGACCCATGATACTTTGCTAATTTACAACATTCTTATAGATGGTCTTCCACATTATAAAGAGAACCTACCAAGAAATTTGATTCACTTGATGTTTGCCAATGGCCTACAACTCACACCTATTATTAAGGCCCGTCTTCATGGCCCCCATCGTTCATCAGACACACCCATCATATGTTAACTGTCAACATCTGGCTCAGGTTGTAATCGACCCGAGTCGAGTTGAGTCGAGTCAAGTTTATTATAGATTGGACTTGGCTTAATCGAATTATAAGTTATTTATGTTTAGATTGAGCTTAGCGGAGCTTTCATATGTTCATATTTAACTTGCTTCAAATTTTTAATTTGCATATTTTATTTGTGTTTGGCTTTTTTATTTTAATTGAACAAATTTGAAAAATTGAATCAGTACTTAATTTATCATATAACGTTAAAAATTTAATTTATACTTCACTTTTCAACTAGTAAATAAATCAAAAATTCAAATGAGTACATGATTTTTGGGACATTTACATAATTGCACACAATTTTTATGTATCTATATATTTCAAATCTAAAATTTCATTTTTACACATTACTAAAATCGTCAATATCACATAAAAAATAACATTATCAAATTTTAAAGTGAATTATATCTTTTGATGCATAAATTTAAAGCACCAAGTATTTTATATGTAAATATGAAAGTCTAAGTGTGATATATGTAAATAAGCATGAATTTTGTGCTGTAATTTTTTTATTTTTTATATAAATTTTTTTAACTAATAATTTTATAAATTTAAATAAATAAGCAATGATAAAATTTAAATTAGCTTCTGGCTATTTTATATATAAAAAAAATAAAATATATGTTATAAGTAAGCTTTCTCATAACTAAATAACATAAATAAATACTAACATTAGTTTATTTAAAGAAAAAATAAGTTCTATTAAATTTCTATGCATGCTAATATAAAATTATAGTATGTACCATTTAAAATATACTTAATTAAGTTTCTGTTAATTAAATTTTATTTAAGGAATATATTTTATAATCATAGAATGTTTAATAAGTTATTTATTGAACGACAAATTTGCTTGCCCGTGAACATTAATAACGTGTTAAATTATGTTCAAATTTTGTTGATTTAACTTTCGAGTTTTAAATAAATGTTCAAATTTGTTTATTTTTTAATTTGCTCAAGTTTGATTTACTATTAATAGAGCCGAGTCTAAGATGTCGATCAAGTGCATTGGTTCATTTGCAACCTTACATTTGACACCGTTGTTAATGATTGCTTCCCCTATCTCCCAAAAGGAACATAACTCGACATCTCAAGGCTCCATCTATTATTACCCTTGGCGGCATCTTATGTTCTTATTTGTCAGATTATATTAATAGTTTTCTCAAATATAGGAGAAAATATTATGTCTGGCAAACCAAACGTGTGATCAACGACATGGATTATACCGCACTGCCAAACATGAGGTGCTTAAAACACAATGTGGTGCGATCCACATCGTCATCTACAGGTCCGGATGATAGATATCATATTTTCTACTCATATAGAAAGCGCACACACGCGCGCGCGCGCGCGCACAC